CGTGAGGGGCGAGTACTGGGCCAACCACATCACGCTGCCGGTTCGCTTCATGGACGGCATGCGAGCCATGGTCGAGGCGGGAGCACGGGTGATAGTGGAGGTCGGCCCCCGCCCGACGCTCATCGGCATGGGCAAGCAGTGCGTGCAGGAGGTTGCCGAGAAGATGGATCTGCATTGGCTGGGTCCCATGGATCCCGACAAGGACGACCAGGACGGTGTCAGCCTGACGATCGAGACCTGCCTCGCCAAGGTCAAGGGCACTCACCAGTGGGACCACCAGAGCTTCTCGTGGGTCGAGACCGCCCATCCGGCACTCGGCCAGCGGCTCACAAGCCCCAGGGGCCTGACCTTCGAGAGCACTCTGCGACAAGACCTCAAGACGCTCATCGAGGACCACGTCGTGCTTGGTGAGACCAGACACATGCGGCTTGCTGGTTGAAGCATTTGATCTGTGCATTTCTTGATGCGTTTGCAGGCGTGCCTCTGATGCCTGGAGCAGGGTTCATTGATATTCTGGCGAGCGCCGGTTTGGCAGCAGCGCAGGTGGAGAGGGGGGCCAAGATATCGGCTGCAGAGCTTGTGCATCTGGAGGATGTGTCGTTCCAGCGGCCCCTCATGCTGCCCAAGCCCGACGACAAGCAGCCCGACCCCAGGATGCCCACCATCCGCATCACCGTCGAGAAGCAGCCAACGACTGACAGCGACGCCGCCATGCCCCCCATGGCGGTCGAGATCACTACACAAGCCCCCGGCGAGGAGGACTTCGTGTCGCACGCCACCGGCCGTCTGGTCAAGGTCGCCCACGTGGACGACAGCGAGAGTGACCTGGTGGAGGACCTCACCACGCTCAAGCATCGGTGCAACAAGACAGTCCCGCTGGCCGAGTTCTACACGCAGCTCAAGGAGATCGGTTTGGCGTACGGCCCGCGGTTCCAGACGGTGACAGAGCTGTTCGTGTCGGATGACCAGGCGCTGGCCCTGCTCAAGTTGGACCTGCCCATCGAGCCATTCGAGGGCGGCTTCCGCCTGCACCCCGCCATCCTCGACGGCGCCCTGCAGTCAGCCGCCGCCATACTTGCGGCCAACCAGTCCGGCAAGAGGAAGACCAAGGCAGCTCTGGTGCCCGTTGGGGCGGAAAGGGTCTCACTCGCTCGCATCGCCCCGTCGAGCGAGCTGTGGAGTCACGTCCGCCTGCTCAAGCGCGAGGACCGTGCTGCGACCATTGATGTGGTCATTCAGGACAGCACGGGCCGCATCGCCGCCTACCTCAAGAACGTCAGTCTGCGGCAGATGGACACCACACCACCTGCAGACATACCCGCGACATCCTCTGGGAGGTCACGTGGAAACAGGCCGAGCCAAGCAAGGAGCCTGCTGCTGCTGAGGAGGGGGCTGCTGCCGCTGAACCAAGGTGGCTTGTGTTTGGCGTGCCGGCTGCCTGGAAGAAGGTGCTGTACAGCAGACTGATGGAGTGCGGGAAGAGCAGAGAGTCGCGGCTGATCGCGTACGACGAGACACCTGACGCCGTGGACATGGAGAAGATCCTTGCCGACAAGAACAAGTGGGACTGCGTCCTCCACATGGGCAGCCTCGAGAAGCGG